CTACACATGTATAATTATTTTTAATGTGGATGTTGCATCTAACATTTCAAATTTAAAAAACCATTAGGTAAAAACATAAAGAAATGTGTGCTATCTTAAATATAGAAAAGTGAGATACACATTTGTATTTATAATGAATAAAACTATTTACAATATGTATATAAAAAGGACTGGAAAGAAATACTCTAAAATAATATTTATTGTTTAGGGAGAAGTGAGTATATTACCTTTTATTGTATATTGTATAAACTGAGTTACATGTTCTTCAAAAGAAAATTTCTTCAACATCCTAGATTCTTCTAGCTTTCTTTTGTTTGCCTATCAAATTTTATGCATTAACTCTTTAAATATCACTGACATTTATTATTCTCTTTTCATCTTTGCTGTCCTACCCTCGTTCAAGTCCCGATGACTTATAGGCAGAATTATGATGCTAGTGGCCAGAGGAGGAGCTTCGGGCTGGTCCTCTCAACACTGTCCCAGTCTTTCTTCCTTCTGCTGCTTCACTACAGTGGCTAGAAAACCAGCAACTCCAAGTCCCCGCCTAACAGATACTATGTGATACAATTCTGATGAAGAAAGCAGTGTTAGAAATCTACTGAAGAATTCTAGGGACACTTCTGCTCTTCTGAAGATGGAAGAACAGGATGTTGACTGTCCACCTGCCAAGGATGGTGGAAGTAAATGTTGAAAGGCACTGGGGCCTAACAGCATCACTAGGGCAGCTGCCTCTGAACTTATTGTAGGAGAAAAATATCCCTTATTTTGTAGCTACTGTCTGTTTTCTGTTAGTTACAGCCTAAGGTGTTGCTGACCAATAATATGTTGCCTAGTTGCCTTCCTGATTTTAGTCTTACGTCATTTACTTCACCCTACATTTATGTTATAATGGTGATGGGGGAAAAAAGACCAGAATAGAATACTAAATACATAAACACTGACAATAAAAGCAAAGGACAGCTGACATGTGAAAACAATGTTGAAGACCTAAAAACTACAAAAAATATGAGTAATATATTTTAAGAGTAATCTAGATCCATTTAGTAAAGTTTAAAAAATTCCTACATATACTGGTTGTTACGTAGGGCGTTACCACAGTACAGTCATGAAGACTTCCAATACTCTTATGTAGAAACAGTCATTATATAAAAATATATTCAGCCTACAGTGGATACAATGGTGAACCAAGCATTAAAGACTTCATTGTAGGAGTTGAGAGTTGAATTGGAAAGAAAATACACACACAAAACAATCACGGAATAATTAACATCTGTGCTATGAATTATCAAATTAAAGCATGTGTTTATAAAGGAGAGCCCAGTCTAGTCCAAGTATTAGTGGGTTAGGGAGCCAGCAAAGAAGGCTTCCTTAGAAAACTGAAGTTTGAACTTGCTGGGAAGATAGACCTGCTTTGTTAGCGAAATGATGGGAGGAAGGGTTGAAAAGAGAAATAGTATTTGGGGATGAGGGATGGCACAAATAAAGGCCTAGGGCCTAGAGGACAAATACTGATTCTGAGGAACTCAAAGAAGCTCATGGTGGCTGGCCTGTGTGTGAGTGTTTTTCCAGCTCGTTAAGAGAATAGGAAATCATGTTTGACATAGTCTGCTTAGAAAGAAAGCCAAGTACAAAATTTAGTTTTGAAAATTTTTCCACTTGGAAAAAATTAAATTGAAATAGTTAACTGCTGAAAATATTACCTGTAATTTTAGTTTTGTCATTCTGTACCAATAGTTAAACATCTACTAAGTACCAGCCACTATATTAAGTTCTGGGGATGTAAATATGAGTATGTAACATTCTGTGTATATAGGGAGTTGCAATAGACAATGAAGGTAAACAAACAATTATAGTGAAGTATAATGAGCATTTTGATGGAGGTATGGTCACAGGCTAGGGGGACATCAAAAATAAATGATTAGTTTGCTCAGGGATTGAATTATCTTGGAAATTAATCTATGTCTAGCACATGATTATCAAGTGATACTAAATAAATGAACTGTGACTGAGTTTAAGCATGAAACGAACCAGAAAAGCTAAATTGTGACAGACATCAAAAGGTATGGAGTTGTTTAATGGACTTCGAAGTATACAATCCTACCTCAAAAAACAATCTGAGAATTAGATTACCCCTCCAGGCTTGGGCAACCATTGAAATAACTGGATTTCAGCATAACAGAATTTTTGATAATATATTTGAGATTTTAAAAATTAAGGAAACACTGAATTAGACCTGACTGTATACACAGGTCAGGATCAGATAGAAAGGTAGAATAAACCAACAATATATATTTAACTTATTTTTTCATTGAAAGTCAACTAAATGACTTATACTTAAAAAAATTTAAGCATTAAAATTAGCCTTTTCATTCACTGCATTTTATAAAGTTATCAATAAACAAAATCTAAAGACTTGAACTTTTGCATTAGTTCTGGTAATGACCCCGTGTGACAACGGGATCATGTGGTTTCTCTGTGTCTAAGTCTCAGTCTCCATATTATGAAATAGAATAATTTTATCAGTAGCATCCAATGATTCTAAAACAGTCTTTCCATAAAAGTCATATACCACTATTATTTTCACCAATTTCAATATTGGCTAACTGTAACTGTAAAAACTCAGAAGAATGTAAACCATCTTTCCAATAATTTGCCAGGCCAGCCAGGATAGATCAAATTTTATAAGCAATACTTTAAATTTACCCAAAATAAACTGGCAAATGTATCACGCCTGATAATTATGAAGCTGCATGAAGCTACAGAGTGGCTACAGAGTCTAGTGAAGACGGTGTGGCCCCCTTGACTGGGAAACACACACTTTCAATTCAGGTAGAATCCTTTTGATGAAATCTATGCCCTTCTCTTGGATAAAGAAAATGATTTAAAAAAAAAAATCACACAAATATAATGTCAGATAACACTGTACAATATCATGAAGATAAATGGAATGTGTATGTTCTATCTGTGCTGTAGGACATACCTCTTCCATCTCAGTAATTTTTACTTAAGGTGTTTGATAAAGTTGCGTAAAGTGGATGAGCTACAATATGTGTGCCAAAGAGGAGTTTGATAATTTTATTAAAAATTGGAATAAGGTTTTGTCATTAGATCCAAAAAATGACACAGTAATTATTGCAGTGCTACATAATAATTCTAAGTATAATTACAGTATAATTTTTCTGACATGCATTTACTATCCATCTCCCTCATAATTATTATGCATAGATAATGTTACCTTGTTTTTCAAGTTTTCTACTATCTCCTTGAGGTTCAGACTTTTCAAATATGTAGATGAATTTTAAAATATATGGGGCCTCTAATACCTGCCTCATCGTAGGACCTCAGCATATGAATATCAACAACAATACTAACATTTATGCAAATAACTAAAGTGCTAGAAAACCAACTGTATACTACATTTTAGTTCATTTACTAAAAGTAAGAACATTGGGGAAAGGTTACCTTTTTTGTAACTTTTTGTAATATAAAATGGTTTATTGTACTCTTTCCTATGCCATCTCTTCTCTTAGCAGCGAGAAAGTCCACAGCATACATAAAACAAGAGGTTTTGAAAAATGTAAATGAGATGTCTCACTCAGGTTTTAATGGGGAAAAAGCAGCTAAACTGCACATATTTTCAAGACTAACAGTCACAGTCCTTTTGACTGTGTGTAACAAGCCGCCCCAGTGGAGGACAAGCACAGCTACAGATCAGCTCACCTCTTTTCCTGTCCAGACCCCACATCACTCCATAAAATGTTGTACTAATGATGTGACATAAGCAAATATTACATCCTTTGACAAACTAAAAATAAAATTATAATGTATGGAAATATATGTTTTTACAGAAAGATGAGAAAAATGGATGAATGATAGAAGTTCTATTGTGGTTAATTTTATGTGTCAGCTTGGTTAGACCATAGTGCCCAGTTGTTTGGCCAAACACTCATTTAAATGTTGTTTTAAAGGTACTTGATAGATGTGGTTATCATTTAAAATCAGTAGACTATATGTAAAGCAGATTATCCTCCGTAATGGGGGTGGGCCTCATCCAATCAGTTAAAGGTTTTAAGAACAAAGACTGGTTTTCTGAAGGAGGAGTGATTCTCAAAACTGCGACACAGAAATTCTACCAGAGTTTCCGTTCTTCAGACCCAAGACTGTAATATCAACTCTTATCTGAATCTCCAGCATGCAGGCTGGCCCTAAGATTTCAACCATGCCAGCCAGCCTCCACAATCACACAAACCAATTCCTTAAAATCTCTCCCTCAACATCTGTCTCCTATATTGATTCTATGGAGAATCCTGACTAATATAAGTTCATTCAAAGCATTAAATATATTAGGTATTTTCTGAAAAACAAATATTTTGGAGCTCTGTTTATGACATTAGCAAATTCTATACTAACCCTTGGTTTTAAGATTAGGATAAGCGCTCTTTATGAAAAACTTCATGAAACCAGCTCAGAGTAAAGTTAACATACCAAGTTTATGTACTTTCTATAAAACTAAATTTATATACTATATATTATGTGCTTTCTATAGAAACTAAGATTTATGTTCCTTCTGTAGAAAAAAAAACAGTAGGAAAACACAAAAGAAACTAATAACTGACTATCTTCCTTCTATGGGATATCACACATAACAGAGTTCAGTCACTTTGTAGGAATTCAGTAGCATAATCCTATGTGTAACAACTGCAAAAAATTATTTTAAAAGGAGGGCGTATATTACAATATTTTCAATTGTCAGACTAGTTGTAGGTTAGTTAAATCCTTAAGAAGCAGATCCTGTTAATGAATATCATGATTTCCATATCAGAAAATGCGCTTTTAAAAAATTATCTTTATAAGTAACAAGCAAATTATAATGGCTTTACTTTTAAAGTTATATTCTATTAGGATGATAAATGGTGTGTTAAAAATGATATCCTATTCTTTTGCATAAAACAGAAAAAAATGTTGAAACTATAGGACATTCTGAGGATAGCAGTACTTACTAACTGCAGAGTCGTAGGAGGTAGAATTGTGCTCGCCCCTCATGAAGGGATATGGCGACAGGTAAGCATGCATGCAGTTCTTGGACAGTGGCTGATTGGCTAGGAAGAAAACCAAAACAGTGGTATTTGTTATTGAGAAGCTGAGCAAAGACTTGTGCTAAGAGAAATATGGAGTCTGGGGGTACACAAGATAAAGAAAACTGCAGATTAGATCAAGAAATTCAGAGAATTGTTGACTGAGAAGGGAAGACTTTCTAAAGATCTCACATTGAGAAGAACCTGGAAAGTGGATTTAACCAAAACATCCAGTTCATGACATAATACAGTGCAGAGAATGCCTGTATTATCTATCACCTTAAAAGTGAAGGCACCACATTTCATTTCTTCAGTTCCTAATACAATACCATATTCTTCAGTTCCTAATACAATGCCTAGCACACAGTAAGTATTCAAAAAATTATTGTTTTTAAACTCTAATAAACTTAAATTTAACCTTGATGAGTTCCAATTATATAAAATTTCTTCTACATCCTATTTTTAGAGAAAAGATGGAAACGATAGATAATACAAGTTAATAATTCAAACACATTTTCAGCATTTGAAGAGACCACAAGAAGAGAACTTTTATATTGTTTGAAAACTTGAAAATTTTAATTATGGATATTTTAAGGAGGAATAAAATATTCTTTCTTTCTCTAAATCCTTGGCGAAATCTTCCTCTTGTATGGCCAGATTTATCCACTTTATCAAAGTCTAAATAATTTTTATTGACACATTGCATGTTCATTTTCCTCTCTGAAATGACTATTAGATAGTCTACCAATTATGCTTCTCAAAATGTCATTTCACTGTTACTTTGTTCCTTTTACATATGCCAACTTGCCATCAGCTTGCTTAAGTCTTCCATGACCTCTTATTTTTATTATACATTCCATAATCTTGACTTTCATGCAAATATCATATTTTGATTTATTACACGAGTATTTCCACTCACGATAAGCTTTAGGGTAATAAACAGTACTTTTATTCATTGGCTGAAATAAGATAAAGGCTAGCTATCTTCAATGAGCTGATTTTCAAAGATTAGTACAATACAATGAATATGGTTGAAAGAATGCATCATATTTTTAAGATGCTATTCCACTTCAAAAAAGAACTTTAAAGTTTCTATGAGAGAATGAAAACATCAAAAGCAAGGCATGTCTTGATATTGCCCACAAACCTGGTTGAATCCCAAACAGAGCAAGCTTTCATCTGTCACAGCTGACAATTAAGTTTTATTATAAAAATATTTTTTAATGCTGAAGCCATGAATATGAAATAATACATCTCTAACTCTGGATTTTCTAAAAAAATAAAAATGTTTATTTGTAATATAGCCACAACGGGTACTCAAAAACAATACCAAAAATAATATCACGTGTTAGGGTTAGTGTGTTTTAAATATGTGCAAGGAAATACTAAATAATTCAGTTTAACCATAAATATCCAGACTCCTATTTATAGGTTAAAATAAAATAATTATTGTTATGGCCATTTTTACTAACTGAAAAGGAGTCACTTCATGAAACTTTCAATGACACCCTATTGAGATTCTATTTTGTAAAGGACGTATACTAAATAAGAAGCTGCTGACTTTTATTTTAAAGGCAAAGGAGAAAATAAAGTTAAATTGTACTTACTGTACCAGAACTTCCAGATACTGGAATCATTCTCTTCCACAATCCCATTAAACCAACATCTCCAGAAGAATCCTTCATGGTGGAAAGTGACATTCTCTATCTGCACAGAACACAAATGAAATAACTTGCCATCAACACAAGGAACACAATCTAAATTGCTATGACCAGGAAATTTTTTAAGCAATGCATTTTATCCAGTAATAATGATCAGTAGCTTTTCACATATCTCTTCTATGAAGAAATAGATATTCCACTGCTATGCTCTGATTTCAAGAGGATATACAAGGCTTTCCACACCACTACCAAATACATCAATATTTTGAAAAAGAAACGCACATTCTGTTCACCTGAACACTTCCCCACTTCAGTCACAAGAAGCCAATAATCCGATCCAAAAGCCACCAAAAAAAGTAAAACCCCCAAAGCACCAAAGAGAGCCCCAAAGAAGATGGTGACATTTAGTCTCATTTTCAATCCAATGGTTTCCCTTTAAATAAGAAATGTTAAAATGGCAGACACCTAGCTTCTCAATAACAATAACAACAAAAAGAATAGAGTTTTGAGTAGGCAGAATCTTCTTGAGAAGCCTCTCCTAGTTTCTGTTTTGGTGGCTTCTCACTCACAACCAGCTGGTAGATTGTATTCCCTTTGCTCACCCCTGGAGGGACTCCAGCCCAGCAGCTGAGAATGGCCATCTATTTTAGGAAACTGATTGAGGAGCTGTCTCTCTCCCAAGGGGATCAAAAAATAGCTGACCTTCCCCTGACTGTAGAGAGGAGTGTCAGAAACTGGCTAGGATGATCATCATCCATAGAAGTGGAGAGAAGATGAAATGGTATAAAATCATTCACAGTATCGGCTCAAAATCTTAAGTGTCTGAAAAAGCTCCTTTTGGTCTAGAATGGCCATTATAACCCCAAAGACACTTAAACCTCTCTTTGAAGACATAAAAATCACAGCCATAGAGAACCACAAAGACTTCTCTTGAATACAACTGAAGTTGTAACTAATTCTTAACTCCTTTTGAATGTGTATGGGATAGAAAATAATTTGTGGGTGAAACGGTCTAACACAACACTGAATATAGTTCAGGTTTATAACTTAGATATTCATATGTGTACTTAAAAGATCAAGAATATGGTAACATAAACTACTTAAAGTATTGAAAAGTACTTTTATGCAGTACATACTATTGACATAAAAACAGCACTCTCTACAGTAGTTCCCAGATATTATACAAGTTATTCCAAATAATCATCACAAAAGTAGACTGATGAAGAGAAGTCTAAAAAAATATATAGTTTTCTGGATCAAGATGAAAGAATCTGGTCTGCTCTTTTGTTTTCATTATAAATATCCAGTTTCCTCAATAGATGAGTCATACTTGACACCCATGCAATCCAGCTAATAGCAATGAATCTACACTTTCTTCATGCCTTGTCTCTATGGTTTGTTTCTTTTCATTTCTCTGAATATTCCAGAGAGTATTTTTTAAGTATTTGTATAATATTTTAAAACTTATACTGTCCCTATGGCTATTGCCTTTATATTCTCAATAGTAACATGAGCCACTGCATCTTCCAACCAGGCATCTGAACTCTACCAATTTCCTTCACCACTTCCTTTATCTGGCATGGGACAGATCTTTAGATGTATACTTGGTGAGGACAAAAAGATGCCCCCTCAGTAAGTATGTAGGACATTGGCCAGCTCTAGTTATATGCACTCAGAGGTGCCCAAACGTTATGACTAAAATTCTGAGTCACAGAATCAGTGACTTTGAGAGTTAAATGGAATTTGAGAGTTCACCTCAGCTGATCTTTCACCTAATACTCAAATCTCTTTTAAAAGACTCCCCACGTCATCAAGCCATGCCATTTCCAGCCTGTTGGACTTAAAGACATTGATAACGTTTACCCAGCTCTGCCTTAATTTCACCAGAAGCTGCTTCTCTCAAGTTAATTAATCCTATTCTGTCCTCTGATTGCACATGTGACAGAACTTTCTGATATTTTGAAGAAATAATTATCTCATGACCCCTCAAACTGGAATCCCAACTCCACCCCTAAATATAGGTCTTTCTTTTTTTTTCTAAACTAAAGATCCTATTCCTTTAAACAAACCTTAGACTGACACAACTCCAAATCTCCTTGCTTTTCTGGTTCTTTGCTACAATAAAGATTTGGTTGAAGTGAGGCACAGTAAAATATTCTGGGTATAGTCTAAGAACTTACACCACTTTTCTTATTTGGATGCTGTGATAAGTAGAATAATGGCCTCCTAAAGATGTCTGCACACTAATCATAAAACTAATCACAAAATCTGTGAATATGTTACCTTACATGGTGATAACCTGGATCATACAGGTAGGCCCAATATGATCACACCAATTCTTAAAAGAAGAGAGTCTTTCCAGACAGAGTAGTCAGAGAAAGAAGTGTGACCAGAAAAAGGGTCAGAGAGTTGCTGGTTTGAAGATGGGAGAAGGAGGCCATAAGCCAAAGAACTTGGGGGCTTCTAGAGACTGGAAGAGGAAAGAAAAACAGATTCTCCTTGAGAATCTTCAGGAAGGAACACAGCCCTACCAACACCTTCATCTGAGGAACTTCTGACATCTGGAATTGTAGAATTTTAAATCTGTGTTGTTTTTGAGCCACTAACTTTGTGTTAATTTGATATAACAGTAATAGGTAACTAATAATAATGCTATTCTATAATTAATGCAATATGAGATCAAATTAAGGGATTTTGGGGGTGGGGGTAGGGGGAGGGAAGTACATTTCAAGAAGCATATAAGCTTGAGAACTTGTGAGGGTTCAGGCATTTTATCAGATATTCAAGTAACATACACAAGCCCTGACATTGAGACATTCATGAACTCGTGGGGAAAAAAAAAATGATTCATCAGAACTAAGTACATGGAAGTTGTAATAAGTTTCTGGCCATCCTAGACACATTCTCCTGCTCACCCACACACCCCTCTCCCAGGATTGGTGTGGTTGTGGTTGTGCAGTAGTGGTTGTAGGTGACAACACTGTTTAGATAGGAGGAAGAATCTTTTTAGGAAGGTTTTGTTTTATTTATATGTCAATGGTTTGTGGTAAAAATCTATGCATCAATACTAAATCCTTAATACACACATTCACAAATATGCACACGTACAAATTACTAGATTTTTAAAATAAGTAGAAAAGCGCATAGAACTTTTGTTATTGTTACATTTCACCTCAATTTTTGCCTTTGTCACAGGAAAAAAAAAACAAAAAACATCTTTCAGGATTAGGCCCGTCCACTAACACTTTCTCACCATTTCTGGTATATCCAAAAATGTATAAACATTATTATAAAAAGTTTATTAAACCAGTTATTTATGTACCTATCTATTTCAACCATTCTTTCATGTGCATCTATTTGAGAAAAATATCAAAGAATACTTAGACATCATGAAACTGAAATCCTTTAGCTCAATTATCCACAGTGCTTATGGTAGTGCTTAACATGTAACAGGGATGAAAATAAAATAAAAATCAATTCACATTAGGACTCTTGGCTGAAATGCAAATACATGACTCCCTAAGCTATACAACTGGCAATTCATCCCAAAAGAAATGGCCCTGATCTGGCCTGGCCTGTTGTTTGTGAAACTTGGAGAGATGGAATTTACCAGGGTGTGTGCTTCATCTGCAGATGCTCACGAATCATCTTTTAAAAAAAATCTATATTAGATTCTTATTGAGAAATGAATTGGAACTTACAATCTAGGGTTAAAAAGTGTCTTTCTTCAGATAATTAGACCCTTTCCTGTCATTTAAAACTCTTCTACATTTCCATGATTCTAAAATATTTCTAACAACCATTCAGTATCTCTTCCCCAAGTTCTCTCAGCAGCCTAAAAAGCTGTCTGTGCACCAGGAAGGTTGTTAAACACCTGTTATGTTCTCATGCTCTCTGTAAATTCTAACA